ATCTGAAGAAGAAGAAATCAAAAAAACCACCCCTTTTATTATCGAAACAAAAAAAATCAAATATTTGGGAATAAATCTAACAAAAGAGGTAAAGGACCTATACAAAGAAACTATAAAACACTGTTAAAAGAAATAGAAGAAGACACAAAGAAATGGAAAGACATCCCCTGCTCATGGATTGGAAGAATAAACATTATTAAAATGGCCATCCTACCAAAAGCAATATACAGATTCAATGCTATTCCAATCAAAATCTCAATGTCATTCTTCAAAGAAATAGAACAATTATTGATGAAATTCATATGGAATCACCAAAACCCCGAATAGCCAAAGCTCTACTGAAAAAAAAAGAAGGAAATGGAGGCATCACACTCCCAGACTTCAAACTATACTACAAAGCCATTATCATCAAAACTGCATGGTATTGGAACAAGAACAGACATACAGACCAATGGAATCGAATAGAAAATCCAGAAATAAACCCACAGATTTATGGCCAACTAATCTTTGACAAAGGAGCAAAGACTATGCATTGGAGCAAAGAAAGTTTGTTCAATAAATGGTGCTGGGAAAACTGGGTCGCTACATGCAAAAGAATGAAGCTTGACCACTACCTCACACCATACACAAAAATCAACTCAAAATGGATTAAAGAACTAGACATAAGACCTGAAACCATAAAATACATAGAAGGAAATATAGGCGAAACACTACGGGATTTGCACATCAAAGACATCTTTACAGACACATCACCCAAAGCAGTGATAGTGAAGGCAAAGATAAACAGCTGGGACTACATCAAATTAAAGAGCTTCTGCACAGCAAAAGAGACAATAACAAAAACAAAGAGAAACCCACCAACTGGGAGAACATTTTTGCACCCAACACTAATGATAAAGGACTGATCACAAAAATCTGCAAAGAGCTGATGAGACTCAGCAACAACAAAGAAAATAATCCAGTCAAAAAATGGGCAGAAGAGCTAAAAAGAAACTTCTCTGAAGAGGAAATGCAAATGGCCAACAGACATATGAAAAAATGTTCAACATCACTTGGAATCAGGGAAATGCAAATCAAAACTACCATGAGATACCATCTCACACCAGTGAGAATGGCACATATTAAAAAAACTAGCAACAACAAATGTTGGCGAGGATGTGGAGAAAAAGGAACACTTCTGCACTGTTGGTGGGAGTGCAAACTGGTCCAACCACTATGGAGAGCTGTGTGGAGATTTCTGGACCTACTAAACATAGAGCTTCCATATGATCCAGCAATTCCACTCCTAGGTATTTACCCAAAGGACACAGAAACATCAATTCCAAAGAGCACCTGCACCCCTATGTTTATAGCAGCACTGTTTACAATAGCTAAGTTTTGGAAACAACCCAAATGCCCAAAAATAGATGACTGGATCAAGAAGATGTGGTACATATATACCATGGAATATTACTCAGCATTCAAAAAAGATAAACACATGCAATTTGCAGCAACATGGATGGCGCTGGAAGGGATCATGCTCAGCGAAATAAGCCAAAAAGAAAAAGAAAAATACCGGATGGTCTCACTCATAGCAGGAATCTAGAAAACTTAAATAAGGGACCAGGAAAATGAATATAAGAAAGTGAAAATCAAAATCAACAAACAACTATGAACCAGAGACACTTTTTGGGGGGTGGTCGGCGGGAGGGGAAGGATTGGGGTCAGAATGGGGCGTTTGCAATTGTATGGGGGAATATAAAAATAAAATTTAATATTAAAAAAATAAATAAATAAAAATAAATTAAAAAAAAAGATGACTACAAAAAAAAAATCTTATACATATTATATGGAAAGAAATACATTAAATGCAGTTATTAGGAGTAAAGATAAACATTTTATTTTTACTTGCCTATACAAGCTAAACTTTTTTAGAATACTGAGTTATTTTTTTCATGATGGAGAAAACATTTTAAGTAAAGTGACTAAATCAGTAGAAGGTGGACATCTGTACTTGTAAGAGAATTTTTCAGAAGTCTATTATAACATAAGCAACACAATTACATAAAAAGTTATAACTTTTCCTCTAGCATACATTCAATAACATGGAAATAACCCCCCAACAAGCTTAATTTATTATATTTCTCAACATGAACTTATATTGAGTATACACATATAAGCTTCATTGAATGTCCTCGGTGATCTCATTGCACTGACCTAATGTGTTTTATCTCCATACACTTCCACTCAATGCTAGACTAATCAGATTCTCTGACATGCCTAGAGATTTTCCATATTATCTACTTTGCTTATTCTGAGTACCCACTAGCAATAAATAGCATTTTTCCCTTTTGAATGTATCTGACTTTGCCTATATTTGAAAGCTGGGCTATATATAAAGGTATAAATAAACCTTCCCTGTGAGCTATACTTTATATTGCTCCTTTTCCAGAAAAGAAATTCTTCTTTTCAACAATCCTGTGCAGCATTTTAATATTTTTTGCCATGCGTCCTTTATAAACTTTTCTTAATGTTTTTAATGCTCTCAAAACGGTAAGGTCTTGGGCCTCCCAGGTGGCGCAAGGAGTTAAGGCGCAATCTATGAAGCTAGACACCTTCATCTGCAGCCACTGCAGCATGAGTTCGATTCCCAGCCAGGGAGCTACCCACATGGTGCAGCAGACCTTTCCTGACTTGCCTGCTGCTCCCTTCAGCAGTGTATTTTAGTTAATCTGCCTATTCTGCTCCCACTCTGTCTCTGGTGAATTCTCTCCCCCCCCCCCAACACCTCTGGCCTATACCCCAGTGCCTGTATGCATAAATAAATAAATCTTTAAAATAAAATCCTGTAAGATTTTTGGGACTAAGAATAATGTCTTATCAACCCGCACGTCATGTAAGTGATCGGTTTCTGTTCATAATCAGTGGGCAACAAATACCTGCTGCATGAATTAACACTGGCAAAAACTGACCTGCAGACCAAAACCAGAGTGGAAAGAATGAAAGGTTCTTAGGATTCATTTCCCATGCATTTATAAATCATAATGGCTTTTTAATTAATTCAAATACCCAGAGGATAAGAAAGATAAATAAGTAATAAGCAGCATTAGTTTGTATAAATACTCATTAGATTGAGGTGAAAATCAAGATTTAATATGCATTGTTTTAAGCTCTAAATTTATGAGAAGAGCATACTGAATCATTCAAACAACATGAATGACACAACTCAGTGTGGAGAGTATGTTCTGATATACAGAATAGGTGTTTATTGCAATCTGCTGAAAAAAGCATTTTAGGAAAACAGCTTGAGGAGTGAATAATACTAAAAGTGATAAGACTATCAGTAAACGTGCATGAAGGTTATAATGTGAAAACATAAAAGAGATCTGAGTTCTCTGAATTAACTCAGGTAACTCAGATATTAGCAAATGGGTCATTTCCTTTTTGTGTCTACACTATCCTATTGTGGTAACTTGGAAAAAGAGTCAGTCCTTGTCACTAAACAATTTCTTGCATAGTTGAGTCAACAGGAATAGTTCTACCACAGTCCTGGCTCAGAGAAAATGAGCGAAGTAGTACAGGTCTTTTAACATGAAGTATTCGTTAAAATCAGTAATTAACTTAAAAGGAAAATAAATTAGAATGAGAAGAGAGTTAGTTCACTATCTTTTTTACAGTTTAAAGCTCTTATTTTTCTGTTGTAAGTGCTTTGCTTACAACTTCCAGCACAACTTGAACAGCAGATATAAAAGCAACCATCCTTGTCTTAATTCTAAACCTAGGGGGCAAGCATTCAGTCTTTCACCATTAAGTATGTTAGCACTGGATTTTCATAACTGCCCTTTATTAAGCAGAGCAGGTTCTCTATCCCTAGTTTTCTGTATATTTTGATTATGAAAGGGTACAGAACTTTATTAAATGCCTTTTTGCATCAATTAAGATATTTTTTCTCCTTTGCTTTATTAATAGGACTTACTTTACAATGATTGATTTTCTTATACTGAACGAAATTGCATTCTTGGGATAAATTCCACTTGGTCATGATGTCTACAAGCTTTAATAGGTTGTTGAGTTCACATTGGTAGTATCTTGCTTTAGAACTGGCAAGCATATATTTTTGAAATAACAGAAAATTTTAAAAACATATAGAGATACAGCTTCTATTGTTTTTCTAGTTAGTATGAATTATTTTTTAATTAAGTAAGGAGAAAATGTATACCTTTAAAATAATCTGTTGAATATTAAAAATTAAAATGAAGTGAGAGGAAAACTGTCCCTTTTTATATTAGTAGGTTTTACTGACCTCTTAGGGTTGTTGCAATTCAAAGATATTTCTTTTTAAAGTATAATTTTTCGGCCTCCCTGGTGGCACAGTGGGTTGACCGCCACGCTGTGAAGCTGTCCGCAGCCTCTGCAGTGCGGATTCAATTCCCAGCTGGCCAGGGAGAAACCCACATGGAGCGGCAGACCTCTCCTGCCTCGCCTGCTGTTCCCCTCAGCAGTGTTTTTGGTCCATCTGCCTATTCTGCTCCCCACTCTATCTCTGGTGAATTCTCTCACACTCCTGCGCCTCTGACTGTACCCCAGTTCTTATATAAATAAATAAATCTTTAAAAAAAGATAATCTTAAAAAAATAAAGTATAATTTTTTTTTTTTAAAGATTTATTTATACAAGCACTGGGTACAGTCAGAAGCGCGGGAGGGTAAGAGAATTCACCAGAGCCAGAGCAGGGAACAGAACAGGCAGATCGATGAAATACACTGCTGAGGGGAGCAGTGGGTGCGGGAGGAGAGGTCTGTCATGCCATGTGGGACCCTCGCTGGCAGCTGGGGATCGAACCGGCACTATAAAGGCTGTGGACAGCCTTGCAGCCCAGCGCTCAACTGCTGCGCCAGCAGGGGAGGCCCAATAAAGTATAATTTTTAACATACCTTCTAGTAATAATAAATCTCTAAAATAATGTTTGTAAGCATCATCAATAATTCTATTTCTAGAATAAAGCAATAAAAAAAATCTTACCCCTATATAGAAAACTCTTGAACAGTCCTTTGCTAATTTTCCAAAAAATGATATATTTATAGTATTAGCCTCTGAATTTGAATTTTCCAGTTCTACAGAGAAAGAAAAAACACATACACAGAAACACACTTACTAAATAGAGCAGTTTAATTCACACAATAAAATAGGATGACAATTACATTCTAAAAATTATTTCAAAGTGTGCTCATGAAGAAAAATTACAATGTTGTACAATTTACTTTAATAACTTTGGTATTACAAACCAATATACAGATTAAAATCAAAATTATAACACATTTCAAATAGTATACATCCTATAAACTTTGTAAATAGAACATTAACATCACATAATAACCACTTAATACTTTTTCATGCTTGTAATCAAAATAAATTTAATGAGGTACTTATTATTCAATTTTTATAGTATATATCACCCCACAAATATTTAATTATTGCTGAATTTATAGTAATCTACAGTTCTCAGTACACTAAATTTTAATCTAGATAAGTGTGCTCTTCTCTCTCAGCACCCATATATTGAAGAGTAAAAGCACGCTCTGTGTGGAGTTAAACACTGGGTTGTTTGTGAATGTGACCATGAAAATTACTTCAGAAATAAAGAATGAACATTGCACACAGAATCTCATTTGAATATTCTAGGCTTTTTGGGAAGAATCTCCATAATTTTCATTCTCTAAAAGTCTTATCAACAGGGACAAATGTTAATACTCAATTATACCATCTGATGGAAGTATCATTCATAATCAGCTTTGAAACATTCAACTACTGGAGGAAATTGCTCTCCTATTAGACTTTCATGCATCTGTCAAGTACGTGAAAGAGCTTTCCAAAATTTGTAGTCTTTTATGCATGACTTAGAACTCTAGTCTATTGGCACCTAGCAAAGAAATATGGCTGCCTATTGCATCCTTTCACTCACCACTTAAATTCAACTCCTCAAAACAAGTAAATACACAAATTAAACACTCATGTTCTTCAAATACAAACTTTTTGGATGTCTATTCCTGGCCATATTTAGTGTTTCCAGGATGTATGGTATATTTCATAGTGATAGAGTATTAGGACTGGATTTACTTTGCAGTCTTATAACAACAGTTCAGAGACAGATAAAAGAAAGTGGTCTTGTTGATAATTAAAATATAGCAAAAGCCCTAGCTTATTTCCTGGACAATTTTCAGGCTGCAGACAGTGTAGGCAATTCTAAAAGAAGGCCAGAAGATTCAGTGAGCCAGCGGAGTTCAGATTTAAGGAGGCCAAAGAAACCAGAATTTACAAAACAGAATGCTGACAGGAAAGAAGAGGCAAGGAAAGAGTTCACTCACTGCACAATTATTTGCAATACCATAGGTTGGAAACAACCCATTTACCAATGATTGAACAAATTAGTGATACATACATAATGGAATAATGCTCAACTATATAGAAAGATGAAATCCTTCCATTTGCAACAACATGGATAAATGTAGAAGATATCATGCTTGCTGAAATAAGTCAGCAAAGATAAACACCATATGATTTCACCTACAGTGCATACATAAAGAAAAAAATGAATTAACTAAAAAAAGAAAAATAAATTTTTAGACTAGTAGGCCAAATTAGTGGTTTACCAGAGGGAAGCAGAAACAGGGAGGTAAGTCAGTCAATGACAAATCAACTGTATTAAGAAGGACAGAACTGAACCTTTAGTGATGAATTTAATATAGTATATAGAGACACTGATGTATAATGAAGCACAACTGAAACTTGTATGTTACAATGCAAGTATTATGGCGATAATTTATTTTTAAAAAAACAAAGTTTGTTAAGCTGTTTAGGTCACATTAGTGAAATCAGAAGTAGGGGAATCAGTTAGAGTCAAAATATGAGGTAATAGGAAAGTGAAGTAAATTAGAAGCAATGGGGAAGAGGATGGAATAATGGAAAAAAATTAGTGAGAAGACTAACCTTTTATTCTATAGCTTTTTATACTATAGTTTTCTAATATGTTCTCATTACCCATGAGAAGTTGTTTTTATGCTTAGGTGTATATGTGAGTGTGCGTACATATACACACATATATATGTATATGCACACATATGTATAGAGATATAAAGTTACCCGCTTTTAGATTACAGGCAAAAAATTAAGCAGAAATGGTGTTTTGATATACCTTGTAGTTCAATTTTCAAAACAGGTGTTCTTTTTCCATCATAAGTTAAAGTAGAGATCAGTGCAAGTTTTCCCTGAAATGAGAGAAAAATAGAAGGCAAAAGGTAAAAAAGCCACTAGAGTTTATAACACTGATATCAGTAAAACCGGATTTTTTTAAAAAATAGATTTATATCTTTCAAGAAATCCAAGTACTGTCGCTATTTTTAAGACATGACAGTGACTTTTCTAGAGAAAAATCAGAAGTTCTAAAAATACTTTAGGTTCATAATTTAATTTCTTAATCCACCTTAGTTAAATAGTTCCAATTCCTTGATTTACAGATAAAGGTGAACTAGCTCAACCCCAGCTTCTTTTAACCTGTAATAGTGTTCTCCACTAATGAAAAAAATGAAGAGTTTGCTCCGAGAAAGAAATGAAAATTTATAGAAGAACAATGAAAAAGTACAAAGCAATCACCAAAAAATACAGTGTGAACAAAGCAGGCACAAATACATCTTAAATATATGTAAATATGAGTTGCAGAAGCAGGAGAGGATCAATGTTTGAAATAATGGTTAGAACTTTTTCCAAGAATGAGGAAAATAAATCCCTATAATTCAGAAACAAAATAATTTCCAACCAGTATAAATAAAAATAAAAGTACCCAACCATACCCAGATGAAAGTGCTGGACACCAAAGACAACAAGACTACTCTTAAAGACAACTAGGAGTGAGACCATTACCAGGGAAGGAAGTGGTGGGAAGGGAAGGAAAGTTAACAACGCAGATGAAACATTTAGACTGCAACAGTTATTTCAAAAGCAACATGATCAGAAATAAAGAATAAGTCATGCCTTCAAATGCTGAGAGTGTAATGATTAGTCTAGAGTTCTATATACCCCACTAACTAATGTGAGAGATTTTCAGATAAAAGGACTTTTTGTTTGTTGGATTTTTTTTTTTAATTGCTAGAGACCCTCCCTCATTTAAATTACCACTCAAAGACTTGCTATAGAAAGAAAACTGTACCCAGATGGTAGGAAGAGCAGCATGCATAAAGGATGATAACAATGATATTGATCATATTGACAAATGTAATAAATCCAAATTAAATTTACTGTGAAAATGACTAATCCTGTGAGTTTTAAAAACAAGACAAAATAACAATAATATTAGACATGAATTACATGTTCAGGAAAGCAAACTATATGTTGGCCTTATTTAACTAAGTCTCCTTAAATTTCAAAACCTGAAATTTTGCAGAATTACAAATAAATAATCACATATTTAGACATCTCCATTCTACCCAATGTTAACAAATTTTTTCTTTAACCTAACATTCCATGTAATTACAACCTTTCCTCTTCATTCCTCCACCACCAAATATATTTCTTTTATTAAAAGTAAATATTTAGTCCAATAAAGGAATCACAAAAAAACCCTGTATCTTTTTTCCCTACTTCTCTAGATCATGTCAGTCTCTTGTTCATGCTATATTCTTTCACTTATTCCTTCAACACAATTTTTCTTTCCTTCTCATTCTACTCTTTCACCCAAACTAGAACTCTATACCCAACTGTCTATTGGATATTACCACCTGGATACCTCCAAAAAATATCTGAAAAATACCCAAAATTGATCTACATCTCTCTCCCTAATTTTGGGCATCCTAGTGTAATCTCAAGGCTGGCCAGAAATTAGAAACATGGGAGTTTCCCGAACTCTGCTTGGCCCTCTTTATCTAGTTATAGCTATTAATTTCCCTTCTTTATCCTATCAGCTCTGAAGCAGATCATCTAGATTCTAATTCTAGCTGGACCACTTACTAGCTCTACATATCTTAAGCCAATTACTTAACTTTCCTCTACAATTAAGAAGTACCTCCCTAAGTCACAGGGACCAATTTTTTTTTTTTTTTATGATTACAGGAGTTATATAAAGCATTTAAATTATTACCTAATTCATGGAAAAAGCTCAAAAAAGATACTCTTTTGCTATTTTTATTTTTTCATTTTCATTTATTTTTTCACTCCCCTCATTTCCCTTGCCACAGGACTCAACTCATGTAGATTATCATAACTACTTCTATGCCTCTTATCTAACATCCTTCTTCTAATCTTGCCTTTTTTTCACCAACAAGGCAGAGCAGTTTGAACTCAGAGTGAATGTCTCTCCTGCTTAAAATCTGTTAAGGATCTTCCATGGTTTTTGGCAAAACATCCAACTTTCTCAATGAAAGTTTTCAGTCATTCCTTACATTACAGCTTACATTTCCTGACATAACTTGTCAGAGCCAAAAACTCTCTGCTAAATGTTCACATATCATAATGCTAATACCACCTGAGTTAAAATCAGAGATTAGGTGGCCCAACCTTTCAGAGCCGACAAGAATGAAATCACCTGTACTCCAGAGCCATCTTAATGCATCACTATACCTCCAAAACTTATTCCTGAGTTTCACAGAATTCAACTAATGTTTGTTGAATAAATGCTGGATAATTAAGAATAACTTAACATCAAAATATTCAGTCTCAAATGTTATGACACAGATAAAACTATTCTTAAAACTCTCATAAATAAGCTTAACATAGAAGTTCTCATTCCTTTTAGAAGGAAAAAAAGTTCTAGTTATAAAAATTCTTACCTGGATATACTTCTTGCTATAATCACAACCTGGCTGTAGAGATTTAAAATCTACTTTATGTAATCTATTTAGCAGATCAACTTCAGGCACCCCATTGACTTCTTTTATTAATTCAAGTGGCATGTCAGACCTGCTTCACAGTACTGTCCAAAGTAAATTCACCTATGGAACTTGACAAGACGCTGCTGAAAACACTAAAACAAAAAGTGTTTTGTTAAAAAAAACCAAAAAACAATAATTTGCTTTAAGCATCTTTGACTTAGTTTTGCTTTCTGTTTTCTTTAAGTTAGTAACACACCGTGTGGGGAAAGCGATCATGGATTACTCTGTAAATTTATTACAAGGATCAATGTAAGCATTTCTTCTAAGGCATTGAAACTTAACTTTTCCCTACTTAGTTTGCTTTTAAAATACCTCTAAAAAGCAGTATTAGGATCTGCAAAAACTGCACAAAAAACTGCCTACACCAGTGCAATTTAAAATGTACAAGCTACTGAGAAAGGAAAGGGTGCAATATTTCGTAAGCAAACTGTGCCCCAAAGTTGATGTTGCACCCCCCCAACCCCCAGCAATACAATCCCTCCCTCCATATAATCGAAAGAAAGTTAATATGTGCATTTCAGGTTGAATCTTTTTGCTCAAACCACTTGAAAGAGATGCTCACTAGTGTCACTATTTAAGTGGTGCATCAACTTTCCCCAAACTGTACAGCAAACACCTTGAGAGCAGGAACTGCAGTAACTCAAGTCAGTTACAATACGCCGAGCAAGAGGCTGAACACAGCGGACTCACAGTACAAGAAAGACAAGTAGGAGCAGTTTCTCTGCAATAACTACACCAAATTTTGATCTGAACTGAATCAGCCTCATTATAATACCAGTACAGATCGCGATGACAAAATAAACTCCAAACCTGCTAAGAAATTAACTCACCCGCGCACTGTAAACAGAGAAGGAAGAGTTTACATCGGCGCGCTCGTGACGTCACACGCACGCCGGCGGCCCAGCTCCCACGCATGCGCACAGGGTCAAAAGTGTGGCACTGCCGGTTCCCAGGCCTAAAGGGCCCTGGACATTTCGCGAAAGCTGGGTGAGTTCGGCTCTAGGGGGAGCGTGAGGCCGGGTAGAGCAGCCACCGGTTTCTTCGCCTCCTTGTGTCCCCGCCCTGAGTTTGCCAATGCGGAAACGGGCATGGTTTGTGCTGGATTTCCTAAACTAGACCGGGAGTTAAGATTCCCTTCGGTCGATTGGAAATGCCTGTGGGCCAGGCGCTGCTTCAGCCTCCAGTTCTCTTCCCCAGAAGCAGCCACCCAGATGTAGTTTTTACAAATAAATAATTCCACCAGTGAGTAACGCCATCATCATTCAGATTTAATTTTTAAACGTTTCGTTGGTTTATAGGATTGTATCTGCAGGACAAAAATAAATTTAAAAGTAACTTTTCAGCAGAAGCATTTGATGTTGACGCATCCCTCCCTTTGCTCTGCCTCCTGTATTCACATGCAGTGTATAAAGGAGCTTTGATAACTTTCCTGTATTCATATACAATGTGTAAAGGAGCAATGATAACTTTAAGCGTAGGAGCTGCTCTTCTCAGCAAAACTATGCTAAGTAAGGCTTAGGTAGTCTCCTTTTTCCTTTGGCCTCATCCAGCTCAGAGAAAACTGTCCCTTCTCCCTATCCAAAATCCTTTATGTTGCCTTGCGATCCTGCTCACTTTCATTGCACTTCCATCAATTATATATCTTCCTGCAACCTGTTTTTAACTTCTCTTTTCTTTGGCAGTTAAGCATATATATTCATACACTGCCTAAGCTTATTAAGGGCAGGGAAAATTGTTTACTATTATATGCACATAGTCTGTAGAAGGCCTGACATGTTGTAAGGTTTAAATAGTTTTAAATGAACAATCTTACGGAACAAATGTTTCTCTTTCCAAACCTCTGACTTCCACCTCTTCTTATCAGTCCCTCTCCCGTTATACTGAAACTGCCTTTGCCAAGATCACTGACCATCATTTTGTTGCTAAAAACCTCTTTTTAAGTCTTTCATCTTTTTGAAGCACATTTTAATTTTGATTTTGCTACCAGGTATTCTTAGTTTTCCTCTTTTAAGGTTTTTCCCCTTCCTCCACTTGGACTAAAAATGTCCATATTCTGCTTTGATGAGGGTGTCTGATACTTATATACATATACATATAGTATACATATAATAAAGCATTACAAAGTCAGTGGGACAAAATATATTGAGTTAAGGAATGGGCTCTCTTCAAGGAGAGAGGAGGATCACTCACATGAGAAGGAGAAGGTGACTTGTATGACTCTCTAGATTAGATGTGTACCCTGCCCTATAAATAAGAAAGATTATTTCTGGAAATAAACCTAGTTCTGGATAATTCCCCCCAATTTTCATTCTTCTGGTTAGTTTAGGAATTGATAAAAGTTTCTTGTAAGCCTGTGGGGACTCAATTAACCTCAGCTTGAAATAATCAATTTGCCAAAGTGACATGTCTTAGGAAGCTCTGTTCTGAACATTTTGGGAAGATCTATTTTTCTATGTGTTTTGAAGCAGCATAAAAAGCTACTCCAAGGCTAACAATTTTTTTTTATTTGAAAGTGCAATAAAGAAAGTTTTGATATAAAATATATGATAAAATAAAAGTCAATTTAAGGAAGAATTAAAAATGAGATTCCAACTAATAAGTAATAAGTGTTAAAAGTGGGATGGGTATTTTTGAAAGAAAAGTGTAAATATAAGAATGTGGTGCTATTATAAGTAATCAAAGATGAGAGGATTTAATCTGAATGCATCATATTTCTTCCCTCTTATTAGCATTTTCAAGTTGCTCTTTGCTACAATTTAATGTTGAAATTTTTAGTTGAATTACTTAGTCACTCAACATTTCAAGCTTATCTCCTTTGCATTAATTTCAGGATTATTAACTCATTCCTATTGCCATCTACTGTCTTCCTGCAAACTGTTACCATGCTTCATCTCACTTCAGATTGAAAACCTTGCCTTCTACTTATTCCTGAGATGTCCCAGCAATACTTGGTAGGCAACATTGTTTACAGTTCATTGTCTTATGATTAATAGCATTTCTGTCCAATCCTAATGAACATCTTGATCAATTCATAAAATCCCATTTCAATAAAATATCAAATTTTTACAGAAAAAGCAACTTGACAGAGATATCAGTGTCTACTAAAAATACCCCCCTCAAACTTGTATTTTAATACTATTTTTTAAAATTTTATATGTATAACTTCCAGTTTCCTTCAAATCTAACCCTGTCTAAATGGGAAAGCCTGAAATCCTGTCTACGAGAAATTCTAAGGGTTACATGAATGACTTGAAACCAAAAATAAGAGTCCAAAGCTGTTAGCATAACAGGGTTCCTAAAGTTTGAATGAAGTCATAGACGAAGTGAGAAGGGCCAAAATTTCATCAGGAAGAGGAGTGGGTCATTCTCCATAGGACCATGCTAGATAGGCCCTAGTATCAAAGCCATAAGGTTGAAATGGGGGTCTCAACAGATATAAACTTTGGTTAAGTTTTAACAAGATATATGGTGAGGTTAAAAAAAAAAAAAAAAAGAACTTCATACGCAAACATTAACGTGAATGTTAACTCCGAAAAAAAATATTTTCTAACAATCAGGCTAATAAAAAAAAAAAATCCCCCAGTTTCCTGTGTGTGGGAAGAACCACATTGCCTAAGAAAATTATCAATTCTAGAGATTTCTCTGTAGAAGTGGGGAGGAGAGAAAATTTGAGAAGGAACCAGCAAAAAAAAAACAGAGGTTAATTAAGTATGCACATTTCCAGAAAACATGTCACTGTTTGATATCTGTGCCCCTCCCTCTCAAAAGTTAATAAAGTTATGAACTCACAGGAAATATACAAGAGTATTTTGTTATGTTCAGATTACACAAATATAATTGAAGGCACAGCACCATCTTGCATAAGCAGCTTTTGGTTTGGACTACTGGACATTGCAGACACTGCATAAGGTACGATAGATGGTCATTTGTGGCCTTAGAAGTGCTTTCCTTTTCCTTTATCTCTCCCAGTTTCCCTCTTGTATGTTAGCCCTGTTGTTGCACTGAGTCTGACACATATCTTGCAGTTGTAAGTGCACGGGTGAGGCCAGAAACTATGACATTTCCCCAGCTTTGCATGGTTTCATTAACACTGTTTAGTATTTAGATGCTTTCTTTTCTATGTGATCTACAATTATACTATGAGGATATATGACCTGAATAATTATGCAGTAAAATCTAATATAGAACCTTTGTTTCTATGTCATATTAGACTAAAAGTTGTGTTAAGAGGTTGGTTACTTGTTTTGAAAAAAACTATGATCTCGCTCTAGAAGTTGGAAAGCTTGGTAACAGGTAGCAATTTGTTGGTATATGTTCCTCTTTCTTTTCCTTCTTTTTCTAAGAGATTAAAAATAGACACATTTTAAAAAATTTATAAATGAGTAGATTTAAATAATATAAAAATTGATTAATAGTTACATTTTTTAATTTCATCATAGTTACTTAGAATAATTGAGAAGCATTGCTTTATGTCCAAAGTGCATTTTTAGCAGTGAAGAACATTTTGTAACTTTGTCAGATCTTTTTTCTATTAGTTTAAGTAGAATCTGCATATATTCATTATCTTAGTACATTTTTACAGGAAATTGAAAAGTTAATATTATAAAGCTTCCTTGATAAAAACTGAGGGTATTTTATCCATTTTTCACTTGTATTCAAAGCAGTGAGACTTTCTATAGCTAAATGATAATTTATCTTTCTTCCATACAACTTGCCCATCAAAGATTGTGTATTGTTATAATGATAGGGTTATAGCTAATGTCTTAATTGGAGAATAAAATATCATTTGTGTTGATCCTACTTTTATCTAGTGCTCAATAAGAAAAAATTAGCTCTAGCTATCTTTCCTATCATTACAGCAGAATAGAAATGATTACCATATAATCACATAGGAAAACTTCAGTTTAATTAGGGTATATTCAACCCAGAGCACAGTATCAGAGTCTGGTACAGTCAAAAGAATAGAATAGATGGGGAAAAAGCAAATACTTTGCCATTCCTACTTATTTTTGGATTATGATGGTGTAAAGGGGTCCAAAATACAAATACATGTTTGTTTAATACTCTTATAAGTCTATTAGAATGAAAGAAAAAGGTAAAGAGGACATTTATTCCTTCTGCCTTGTCATTTGTATTTGACAGTCAAGAGTTTTTGTCTTGGACCTCCCTGGTGGCCTAGATGTTAAGTCTCAGCACAGTCACCACTGTAGTCTGAGTTCAGTCCCCAGCCAGGGAGCTAACCTACAAGGTGCAGCAGACCTCTCCTGTCTCACCTGCAGCTCCCTTTTGCAGTGTATTTCAGTAGATCTGCCTCTTCTGCTCCCCACTCTGTCTCTGGTGAATCCTCTTACCCCTTGCACCTTTGGCCTACACTACAGTTCTTCTACACATAAATAAATATATCTTAAAAAATAGTTTTTATCTACTCTAATGTACTAATTTTATTGATAGTATACTTCCAAATATTAATAATATTGTGATCAATAGCTTTCCTGATTTTCCCCTATATTGGAATTCCCTCCTTTCATTTGTGCCTGATACCCTTTATATCAAACTATTCCTCCATCTAAATACTTTACCCTCTTTGCCACAGTTACAACTTCCTAAAATTCCATTATTATCCAACAGCCTCCTTAATTTCCATTTTTCTTACATCAGTTCCCCACATAGAACCCATAGTTATTCTGTTAAAATACGTTCAGAATATGTCACTCCCCAATGAATTATCTTTCAGTGGCTTTTCTTTATACTCAGAAAGAAATAATATGGCTCCTCACAACTTTCTCCTCTATATTCCTTTCTTCTTCCTTAATCTTACTC